GGAGGTTCCTTTCTATAAGTATTGGAGGCTAAAAGTTCAAGGTCAAGACTTCAGAAGGACTGATTCCTTCTGAGTTCCTGGAGAAGGAACTGTTTTAGCCTCTCTTCCCAACCTGTTGCTCTCTTTTCTTCTCCAATGACTTCACTGTGGCTTTTGTTCTTGTTGATGGCAAAGTCCAAATTTCCACTCTTGATATGGAAAAAAGTCAAATTAGGACTCACCCCAGTGGTCTTTCTTACTTTTATAAATAGCATAAATCAAAATGTGAACATATTCTGGGGTACTGAGGATGAGGATCTCAACACGCAGATGGCACATCTGAGCCCCCAACCTGAAATAGCAGCTCTAGCTGCAACCCATCACATACACTTCCTGTCCCTTTAAAAAATAAGACAAAGGCTCTGGTACATCCTAAGTGACAAATGGGCCTTGTATTAATTATGGAGCATCTTAGGAGAGGTATAGATTGCTGTGTTGGTTGAAGAAATTTCATTCCATGAAAGGGACTAGTACTTAGTGCTGGTCATCAGCTTCATGAGTCTTAAAGAGCTCATTGAAGGCCTTTACAATGTCTAGCATCGTTACCCTGCCAGATGAAGACGTTGGGATGCCTTGCTCAGAGAGCTTTCCCATGAACCTCCTTCACATGCATAGCAACCTGCCTGGTTCCTGCTGATCTCCCCGGACCACAGCAATGTTGCTTGGTGTGCTCGATGGCATATCCACAGGCTCTCTTCCAGAAGAACAATCTGTAGAATCCCTGATTCAACAGGCAGAAATCCCTGGAGAAGCCTACTGTTCTCTTTCCACCTGTGCCAGGGATCTCATGGACACAAGCCAATGAAAGACACTTGAAATTGCTAGAGGAACTGACATGATAAAGAAATCTAGCCTGTCTGGCCCAGAATTATCACATGTTCTCCTGTCACTGGGATGAGAGACACTCCAAGACACCTCTACCTCCTCAGAGGAGAATCTAGTGAACACGCCTTTAATGGAACTGTAAATCCATTGGTCACCAATGCTTCTGACCGCACTCCAAAATCCATTATATACCTACTCACTACCTTCTAGCCTTTCATTGCTCAGCAGTGCCCAGTCCTTTCCAAATCCTTCAAGCTACTTCTCTCCCTGAGGAGAACCCACTGCTTCAAACCTGAAGGTCATCTAGGCTCGCCAACATTTGTAAGTCACCCCTAATAACCCCAGCTCTTGCACCTTGCCAAAGAACTCATTTTCAATATTCTATTTCATATAACATCTTTCCTTTGGGGAAGCACAGGGCCAGGTCTGTCTAATCTCAGAGTCAGTGTGTTCTCTGAGTCAGTTGGTTCAGCCTCTGTTGGTGGACCAGTGCACTTCTAAGAACCTCTCCTACACCTAGTCTGAGGCCTCTATGCCTTAGGTTAAGCAATAGCATACCAGACATCTCCAGCCATCACTTTTGGGTACCATTATGTGGCTACTTAGACCTTACTTCTTTGAGTGGATTCTGGTGGGTGCTGGTGGGACAATACTAAAACACCCACCGTTCACAGCTTGCCTGGTATTCTGATGATCCTTGGCTCAGAGTGTCAACTGTTGCTTTAATAATTTCCCTCCAAACTTCTCTGACACTACACCAATGTGGAATAAACAGGTCCTTTCTCCATGCCTTCACATTGCCTTGCATGCTAATTTGCTGTAGCACACACCCTAGTGAACCTTGACGTTCAACCTATATTTTCTTTTTCCTGCTACATGTGTACCTTCCTTTGACATTGTTATATCTTCCTTTCCTGGCTCAGATTAGGGGTCTCATTTTTATTGATAACTTTACTGATTAAAGAGACCAAAGTTGGAACTCCACATGCCTTGTCTGCTCTACAAAGTAAATATCGGCATTCAGGGAGATTTTTTTTTTAATGTTTCTCAGATCAGACCCTTGAGGGGAAATCCTAGATGATGTATATTTAATCCCCCAGGCCAGACTCAGAGATCAGCTCCCTGGAGACTCCTCCTGCATGATTCTGCATGTTGGAGCACAAATCATGGCTTGAAACCCAGAGTCATATTATAGCTGCTTTCCCTAAACTCCAACCTTAGTTAGTTTATAATTAACATTCACTGTCACTCTTTTTCCTCTCAATGATGGGCAGTTGACCATCCACCTTTCTTCTTTTCTAAGATGCTTACTGGCCACTCTTACCCAGACATAATACCCTGTAGAAGGAACCAAGCATTCCAAACCAAGACATATCAACCTCTCTCCCAGTGCGTTATTTTTGTTAAGTGAATTCTTGCCCACCTGCTATATCTTCAGCTTGGCTGGGAAGATGTGAATATAGTCCTGGCTATCTTTTAAGACCTGGGAATAGGTCCCAGGCATTTGGAAGCTAAGACAGAACCTTCTTTCCAACCAACAAATAAGGGCAAGAGAATTTGAACTTGACTCTATCTTTAGGGCAGGTTCAAGATTCTCTTGCAACCCAAAACATGTTCTTCAAGGGCTGACAATAGACTTTATTTTGTCAGGCATCATCTTCATGGTAGCTTTTGTCCACCTACCTATGACAGATGCTGGCTATCTATAGCACTATTAAAGATTTCACCAAAATGAATAAGAAAACCTCTCAGCTACTAAAGTGTGCGTGCGTGCGTGCGTGCGTGCGTGCGTGCGTGCGTGCGTGTGTGTGTGTGTGTGTGTGTGTGTGTGTGTTGTATGAATATGTATGCAGATGTTGGGGGTGGTCACCCATGTGCGTGCATATAGAGGGCAGAGCTTGAAGTCGTGTGTCTTCCTTTATGCTGTCCACTTTAATCTTGGATACAGGTCTCTCCAGGAACCTCACCAACTAGGCTGGGCTGGCTGCCAGTTAGCTCCCTGAGCCCACCTGTCTTCTCCCTTCATTTCTGGGGAGACAGTCGCATGCCACATTTCCGTAGGTGCTAGGAATCTGAAGTTAGGTCCTTATGCTTACACCGCAAGCTCTTTACCCACCGAACCACCACCTCTTTGAACCCAAACCATCAAATTATGCTTTCGCCATGTTCTGTGACCAGTTCAAATCAGTTTTTTTTTAAATCAATAATTGTTCCCTTCTTTTAGCATTTAAATTTTTTATTTCATTTATTTTGTATGCGTGTGGAGGTGGGCATGGGTGTATCCGTGGTGTATGGGGGTGAGAACACAAATGCTAGTGTGTGTGTAAGTCGACAGACAACCGCAGGGAGTCGATTCTCTCTATACATCTCACTTGGCTTCCAGGGATCACAGTCAAGTGTCAAGGTTTGCACAGCCAGCATCTTTCCCCAGTGACCAATCTCACTGGCCCTTATTTTGGCACTTTGGGACTCAGCTTTATGTGTGAGAGGTGTCCTGGTAGTTTATAGCCCCTGAAGATCTCTCAACAACTGGGCCACTGAGATGCTACTCAGAACTGGGTTGTTCTCTTCCTTCCAAGATCAGATATGACAGTTCCTGCAGTAATCTAGCATGCTCCTTGAAGATGACTCCACAGGATCGCATCACATGGTGTTTGTCATTTGCTGTGGCCTCAAAGCAAATTGCCAAGAATAAAAACACACACTGAGTTTCCTATCGTCTCTGTGTATGGAAGGCGTAATAGACAGGGCATGCTAGGTATCCAAAAGCTTAATTCCATCATTAGGCCAGATTAGAGAGATTGCTGCCCTATGCTCTATAGTCAGAGCATAGAGATGAGAAACATGAGGAGTTTCTCAGGGAGAAATATTAAATCGTAAATAAACATTATCCTTTAATGTTTGAAGTAGATCATTTTAAATGTAACATCACTTTTCTATACCATTTTGAAATTTTAATCTATTTCTAGTTTCTGTCTTTATAGTTGACAGTTTGCTTAAAGAAAATAGTTTTGTTGCAGGATAGGTCTGCCTGGGATAATATCTTAATTATATGTGGTTAGTTGTTGGAGATACCAACGAGGGCTTCCCACACACTCTGATGCTTGCCATATCAGAGACAAAGCCACAAACTATAACCTGAGCTGGAGGGCTTGTTTCTTACTTATACTGTGGGCATGGTAGATCTGTCTGATTTCATCGTTAATTCCTAAGGTTGTCAGTTAGACCCCACCAACTCACTTGAGGGGCAGCCTCTATACTGCTATCCTTCCAGAAGGAGTGGATGTCGTCTTGAGAATTTGAAACAAGTTTATTAAGATGCATCAGAGCTTGAGGCTCTCATCCAAGAAATGCTGTGTTGGGAAATGAAGGTGGGGGTGCGGGGCCCCATCTTTGGACAGTTAAGCTCAAATACAGTTGTCAAGGCGAGGAGAGAGGGTGTTGTTTAGTATTGAAATCATGTATTCCAGATGTGGGCATTTGGTAGTCAATCTGCTCTGAAGTGACATGCTGTTGAATCTTTAAAGGGCTTCAGCCGGGGAGAGCAAAATCTGATTGGGCAAATTGCTAAAATATTTAAAGTGCAGCCTGTTAAAGCTTTTACTGCGAAGAGCATCGCGTCAGAAGTTGTAGTCAGAAAGAGCAAATAATTGGCTTTCCATCCTGATGCCAGTCAGCCAGCATGAGGCTCTATTCCTATTCTTTCCTCTTCATTGCCAATGCTAATAGCAACCCTTTGGGGTGTGAGTGTGTGTGTGTGTGTGTGTGTGTGTGTGTGTGTGTGTGTGTGTGTATGTGTATGCTGGGGAAACTGGATAGCTGGTAAAATGGGAAAACAAGGAACCAGATAGTCATAAAAAGGGAAGCTGAACCCACAAAATGGCATGAAGCCCATTAACAAAATGGGCAGGAGAAAGGCAGAATTACTGCCTGACAAAGTCAAGTGCCCTTCCAGAGGGGTGTGTGGTTTGGGCAGCTGCCTTTCAAGGGATGTGCTCCGCCAGGAGACAAGATGGCCATTGGTGACAGCCACTTTCTTGGCGTCTGTCATCTCTTCTGAGATGTAACTCGGGAGACCCTTTGCATTTATAATTTATCACATTTTCCACTTAGGTTTTCCTGCCTTTTCTCCCCAGGCATGACCCCTTGTTAATTCCTGGCAATGATCAGATTGACAACATGGACTCCAATGTGAAAAAGTACGACTCTACTGGAATGTTTCATTGGTGCGCACCCAAGGAGATTGAGAAAGTCATCCTGGTGAGTGAGGAACTTGGAATCCATGTCCTTCCCCTTTGACTGGCATGATGACTCAGAGTGAAGATTTCCTAACTGAATAGTAGAGGCCACTGTCACTTGCCCTAGCTATTTTTGATCACTGAAATTCTGATCAGAGATGCAAGTGGCTAGATCTCTGATCAGAACATGAGCTTAGAGCAGGTTTTTTTTTTTCCCCTTTCAAGAGCATAACTTTCAATCTCTATGTTTTAACAGGACAATAGTGGTGATTATGTGCTGCCACAGGGCATCATGGGAAGTGGGATGCACATCATTCCTGATCCTCATGTGGCTCTGGGGTCAGAGCCTGGCCCTGCCATCTGCTAGTTGCATGGCCTTAGGCCTGTTGTTGGACAATGCATTTTAATTACCTCATCTGTAAGGAGACAGAATGAGAACTACTCTAACATCATAGGATTGTGGTGAAAATCTAGCCCATGACTCCACAGGGGCACTATCTTTCTTATCTGTTGATTTTTATTATGATTGTTCTTAAATACCATGAAGAAAGAGGAATATTGCCTACATTGTTTTCTATTATAAGAAATATTGTTTTGTTTGTGTATATTGAATGTGTGTTTTTGGTGTGTATGTGTGTGTGTGTGTGTGTGTGTGTGTGTGTGTGTGCGTGCGCGCGCGCGCATGTGTGCCAGAGGCCAATGTCAGGTGTATTTCTCACTCTCTATTTTCTCTTTTGAGTTAGGGTCTCTCACTGGTCCTGGAGCTCACTGACTCAGCTAGACTGGCGGGCCAGTGAGTCTCTGGGGATCCTGTCTCCACCTCCCTCACACTAGAATTTTGGGCATGCACCATTACACCCAGCCTATTCTGTCTAATGTGGGTACCAGGAATCAAACTCACATCCACTAAGCCATCTTCCCAGGCCTACAGTAGTGTTTCTTACCCTAACATGTTTCAGTCCTTCCGAACATGTGATACAGATAGGCAAGTGCATTTGCTGAGGATGACGTTGCAGGACCATGGCCCACTGTCGAGCGCTCAGAGCATGCTTCAGGGATGGCTTGTGCACATCTCTGGAGATAGCAGGCTTCTCCTCTTCTGTCCCAGGAACATTAGCACAGATAGCGATCCATTCTGCTCTCTCTGTTTGTCCTGTTAACAACCTTAGGTTTTAATGTCTACATTGGCTTCCCTCGAATTTATTGTTTTGCTAATTCATGAGAAATGGCTTAATAGTCAGGAAGGACAGTCAGGACACAGCTCTTTCTCCCTTGTGCCTCTAACCCCCAGATGGCTTTGGATCTGCTCCATTTTCAGCTGGGAAAATCCTATCATTTTCAATTTTAGGGCCACCTTTCCTTAGCAAGGACTATTCCAGGTCCTCAGGGTTGTTTGGTGTGCTGATCCACTGGACTTCCCCACTGTATTTTAGCTAGTGTGTGTGTTCTCAAATTAATTGTACATGAGCATTGTGAGCCAATAGAGCATTGTGCTGGAGGCATCTCAGAGTTGTGAAAACTGCAGACCAAATTCATGATGTCAAGATGCTCAGCAACCAGCCACTGCTTGATTTGCCAGAAGGGGAGAGACAGTTCTGACCACTCTGATTTTCTGTTATTGGTCACCTATGGCTTAGTCATATGCTGTGGGCTACATCTGGGTCCAGAACGACCTGCAGAACGTGGGTTAATTGACATGTGATCAGTATCCTCTTATAGAGGGAAGGGATGAGTTCATCTGACAAAACAGCACCACTTGAGGAAACATTGGTGCAAACATACCATGTACTGTTCTTATTGTGATGATGTACAGAACTTTCATTCTAGCGAAGCAAAGGGAAGGCCAGTGGGGAACTGAATGAGACCATGAGAACAATTTAGATATGAATGAGGGCCTTGTGAAGAAAATAAAGCAGGATCCTTGTGAGGACAGAGTCCAAAGGTGCTGCTGAGGCAATAGGATCCAAGAAACCCTCTCTGCAGTAAGGTGTAGATGGAATTTTCATCCAATGCATAGATGAGAAAGAATGGGGTAGCGCTTGTGTGAAGATGCTTGTGGAAGCCATGTGTCCACTGAGTGCAGGAATCCGATGGCTTTGGGTGATAAGGCTATAGAAGAGACAGTCCTCTGATTGGAAAGGAAATATAAGATGGATCATGAAATAAACTTTTTGAAGCTAAGTGGGATGAGATACAAAGTGTTCTTCAGATCCATGGAATAAGCACCAGGGTTGGTTTAAAGTAGCCAGGGAAGTCCCGTCAGGTATAGGTAGGTTGTGCTCAGGAAGGGTAAAAAAGTGCATGGAGAAACTCCTGGTTTTTCTGTTGGTCTTAAGCATGGAAAAATTAGACTTTCCAGGTCTGAGCAGGACTGGAGCTTTACATACATCTCCAGGCGTGTATAGCTCTGGCATATTGGAGAATTGGTAGTTGCCCAAGCCTAAGCTCCCAAGGTTAGCTTCTGTGCCTAGACCATGCTGCTAACTGGTACCTAGCTCATTTTTGCATTCTTGATTTTCAGCTTCTATTCTTCATCCCATTTTTTACTTCCTTGTCGAGGGGAACTAGCTTCTTAAGTAACCAGGCCAATCAAAAATATTCAGGAGTCCCAAATGATAGCACACCCCAGAGGGCTTGTCTTTCTGCTTCTGGCTTCGAGGACTGGGACTTCCATGTGGCCTGAATAACCAACTCCATGTCTTCCCCACAAAGAGGGAAGAGATGATGGGAGCTCCATGGGAGCCTCCTCGGTCACCTTTCATGAGAAATTTCTTACAGCTTGTGCCTCAGGTTTCCCTTCTACTCGGGGAAACCAGCAATGATGATAGCTCCTGCTTTATTCTAATGACCAGAGAATGAAAGCTAGCTTCCTCCTCTCCCCAGGGGTTACTGTAATAACCCTGACATTGTCCTGAATTGCAATATTGGCATTGAAGCAATCAATACCCTGGTCAATGCTAGGGATTAAATCAAGCAGAGGTTGATATGTGCAGTGGACATTAATATTCCCCCCGTGCATTGTAAGCCCCATGGGACCTTATGAGCATGCAGTGAGGAACAGGAAAGATGGCAGGCAGGGTGGTGGTGTCAACTAGAAGGAAAAACAAAGAAACACCTCCCGCCTGACCTCATCCTGTTGTCCTTTTTACCCATACAATGAACAAAAGACCAGTAATGGGCAGATAACTATTTGCATTTCCTGGATAATGGGGATCCTCCCCAACACAGGAGTATTCCTTTGTTTATCACCCTTGTGGATACAGGGCTGGGGCTGGGGAAAGACATTGTCCACTATCTTTACTGATTGGCCTCTAGACCCTTGTAATGATTACTTGTGGGTTGCTATATAAGGCAGGCCCTTTCAGGAATGGTCCAGGAAACACCAAAGTTTAAACATGGGATCAACGTACTTTTTCTATAGAAGAATATATTCAGTGATTTAAGTTTCACAGGCCATATGATCTCTGTCATAACTGTCAACTCTGCTTTCCATGAAAGTAGCCATGGAAAATACCGAAACATTATGAGCTGGCTGTGTCCCAATAAAACTTTATTGGAATGTGAATTTCATATTATTGTCACTCATAATGACATTTCTAATTTTGATTTTTTTTTAGTCATTATAAAATTTTAAAACTAGCTTTTGCTCAGTGGATGTATAGAATATTATGAAGTATCATCAGATTGAGGCTACAGGCCACAGAAGCCAGTCCATAGCCTCAGATGTCATATTCTATCTACTGATACAGTGATGGGCTATGCCACCTCACTGAAACATTTTAAAAAGAGAGCCCCAAATGTCAGCTGAGACAAACCAATGAGTAGGACTATTTAATCATCATCTTAACAAAAGGGCCTAAAAAGGCATCTAATTTTATCAACCATATCATAGACATGAAGGCTTCTCTTTCTCCCCACATACATAAACATCCTCCTTTTCTTCTCTTGGTTCTTCTAAAGATTGATATACACTGTCTCCTGCTCACAAGTCTACACAGCACATCCTTCTTAAATCTATTGTTCAAGAAGGTGGTAATGTGTGGGTATATGTTTACAGGAATTTATGAGATAAATACAGTATATGCCCTTGCTCAAGTCAGAGATAAATACATAACATGTATATTATGACAAAGTAGAAATAATAGCTGTCTTGTAAGCCTTACCAGTATTTTATATATTCTTTAACAATAAATAGAACCAAGAAGGAAAAAATAGTGCTTTCTCTGAACATGTACTTACTGTATGCACTAAAATTATTAGAAAGACTTATATGTTCTCTAACATGATGGAGATGGAGGTTTAAAACAGTATTTGATTTCCTGAAATATGGTATTGTAAAGCAGTCCACATGGCAACCTGAGTTTTACCTTTTTATCCACCTCCCATTCCCTGAATATACTTTTATCTGTTAGAATGGGCACCTTGTGCAATTTTATATATGATATTGAAGAATCACTTCTTTTCTATTATTCTGAACTAAATTAAACATTTGTTTTATTGCAGTACAAATAATAACTGTATTGGAATCCTTTGTGGTATTATGATAAAATACCTGAGACATAGACCTCATAAAGAGAAAAGGTATCTCACAGTTTTTAAGAGGTTCAAAGTCTCATGTTGGCTGCCCTATGTGCCTGGTCTCTGGGGAGGCTGGTGGGTGGTAGATGATCATAGCAGGGGTGCGTACAAGCAAACATGACCAGAGAGAAATGAGATGGGCATGTCCAGGTTTGCTCTTTTCATACTGATCATCTCTGGAGGACTCAAGAAGTCACGTGAGAACTCTCAGGCAACTGCACATGAACTGCCCCACACCTCCAATATGCATTTTCTCCTCATATCAATGTTGTGAGCTCTCCTCTCTGATAGTCTTGCACTTGTCTCTGTTACAGACACGAAGTGAAGCTGCCATGACTGTCCTGAGTGGCCATGTTGTAGTCTGCATCTTTGGGGATGTCAGCTCAGCCCTGATTGGCCTCCGGAACCTGGTGATGCCGCTCCGTGCTAGCAATTTTCACTACCACGAGCTCAAACACATTGTGTTTGTAGGCTCCATCGAGTACCTCAAGCGAGAGTGGGAAACACTGCACAACTTCCCCAAAGTGTCCATATTGCCTGTAAGTCAAGGTCACACTATTTGATGTTTTGCACTTCATCTTTTCATTCACAAAAGGAAATCCCAGGTGGCTGTAATTGTTGAAGCTTTGATCATGTCTCTGCTCCTTCATGTGGTTTCAGGCCCGAGGATGTAGCAGTCCTTCTGTGCTCTGCTAAGAAAGTCAAAACCCTGGGAGGCCTTATTAAAAGGAATTTGCAGCCAAGTGCAGCCCCTTGTCAGGGGTGAAGTTGAGCTACCACCACATGCATTAACCATACCTGAGTCTAAATTCTCTTTCCTAGGTGAAATTTAGAATGTTGCCCTATTTTGATATACACACCAAGAATTCATTTATAAAATTCCTGTTGGCTTTTTAATTTGACATGGTTATTTCTTAGAGAAATACTGATCTGTCCCATCTTCACTCTGATATTGACCAAATAAATAAAGGGCAGAATTATCTCTTCTGTATGGAATTCCAAACCTTTCTGTGGACCAACCTCTATTTGTTGTTTAGAACCTTTGTTTAGAAATCCAGCAATGTTTTCCATGGCTTTGTGTATATGTACGTACATGTGAAAACATGTATGCATATACATATAATGTACATACAAATTATATAATATATAATATTTATTATATAATATATAATATGATATATATATATATAATATAATTTATATAATATTTATTACAAAGATCACTAGGATACCAATCTGTAAAAGACAATTTGGGACTCCACAATTTAATGTGAAGATATGAGATAAATGGTTTCAAAGTTATATCACTAGCCACTTTCTAATTATATATTCTCCACAGAATTATACATTCAAATAATGTTATCCTTACCAAAATTTTATGTGGTTGTCTATGTCACAAATTCAGGAAAATATTACCTCTCCTCCAATAGTTTTTTCTTTTTTTTGGATTTTTTTTTTGAGACAGGGTCTCACTAGATAGCTCTGGCTGTCTTAGAACTCACTATGTAGACTAGGCAGACTTTTAACTCACAGAGATCCATCTTCCTCTGCCTCCTGAGTGCTGGGATTAAAGGCATGTGCCACCACTGCCTGGCTTCTACAACTATTTTATTAACTTTAATTTAGATTTTTAGGGATGTTCCAGAGCCTCAGAAATTCATCAGCAAGAACTAAGTGTTATAATGTGTTAAAGAATCTCGTAGGGGGCTATCTACAGTCAGCATGCCTGTGTAGCCAGCTCTATGTGTCTTCCATAAGGCTCCCATCTAAAAGTGTGAGAAACATTAGACAGGTCTCCTTTGGATGCACGACAAAAACCTGACTGTTTTAATGTATACATGTAGTTAAAGATGGTCACTGTTAACAATTCACTCACTGGACAAGCATCCACATATACTGTACATACATTGCTAAATTTAGAAATATGATCATTTGAATATTCCTTTCTGTCATTATCATCTTACATCTGCTATTCCATGTGATCCCTTGACCTATGATGTTAACTCTGTAAAAAGTGAACTAACCAGCTGGGTGCAGAGTGTATGTGTGTATGTGGGGCTTGTGGTGCAACCTTTGGTATTTGTGTGTATGTGTGTGTTTCCTTCTGTGTGTTCCCATCCATATTTACTCACCTTGTTCTGCAAGTCGGGATGAGTCTCATATTTACAGAGCCTTTACAACCCCCCCTCACATTTAGCACACCTAAGCACAGTGGATTGGTACATTATAAGCCGTGATCCATGTCTTCATTTTTTAAAGTGTGGCATTCATATAAGGGCAGCCCAGAGAAACACAAAAGCTTTCTGTGTTCTTTGTTGGTATTCTTGAGGTTTGAAATCATGTTGTCTACAACTGGGCATGGGTTCCCTTAAAGTACAATTGCTGCTGGATTTCCTACAAGGTGAAAATTAAAAGAATATGGACATAGACCGCTGTTGTTTATACATAGCAATGTGATACAGAAAGTTGGTCACAATTTTGTACCACAAGATCATAGAAGATGGGTTTCTCTCCTTCTCCCAAGACACTGCTCCAGTGCCTGGATCAGGACCTTCCCTGTACCTATGGCCTTGTATGCCCTTGCTCTATGGCTCCACTTTGTAGCAACATTTAGGAGCCCTGGAATAGAGTCATGACATTCACTGAGTCAGAAGAAGAGTTGATGGGCTCCATAATGTTATCCAGATCCTATTTTTTTTTTTTTTTTTTTTTTTTTTGGTTTTTCGAGACAGGGTTTCTCTGT